CAACAACAAGAGGCTCCATCCACCAAATCCTCCATGAAGCAGGTCGATTTGTGGGTTGGGACAATTACAGCCTGACTGCGAGACACGGCCTGGTTTCCACATCCTCGGTGGGAAGCTGCTGACCGCTGCTCCAGTGTTTCCCATCAGATCCAGTAAAACAAAGTAGCAGCTGAACTGACTTTCATTTCAGTGTTGGTGGGACGAAATCATGATGAGCAGCATCCAGACGAGCATTTGCAATAACAAAAGCATGTCTTAGCACATGCATATCCATGTGCAACACAGATAATAACGTTTCATTCAAAAGGTGGATATTTTCTCTAAATGCAGCAGGCGGGTGGTGTGGTGGGTGGAGAGACTGGAGACGAACGTTGGTGTGAAGCAGGAGAAAGGATGCTTAGCCTGATCAGTGTCAGCGGCTAAACATCTCCTCCTCCCATCTCTTTGCCGTTTGTCAGATTAGTGTTTCGTCTGCGAGCAAAGCCGCAGGAATGGGCTGTGACGGGCTGCCACAGAGCATCCCGCTGACTGAGGAGTCCAGGAAACAGACACGGAGGCAGCGCAGCCACAGACTCGGCCTGCAGTGGGACCAGTCCCTGCAGAGTCAGGCTGTGCTGTCCTGGGCTCAACCCACTCACATTATAGTTCCTGCTTAATCTCAACAGCGTGCAGTGCAGTCAGGATCACTTAATATGGATATAATAACTTTTAGCATGCACATGAGTTATTTCTGTAGGAACAGAGGAGCTCTTGTCAGTGCTGGTGATGCTGTGGTCGGGTTCTCGGTTGTTGCACGTTTCTGCTGCACCGTCTTTGTGTTTTTGCAGCTTTTGCACACTTGCTCTTTATGTAGTCCTGTGTTATTGTCTGTCATAGCACCGCGGGCTCGCTTCACTGTGTACTGTACCACTGGCTTGACTTGATTTTTCTGGATGTTTGATATCTTCACAGAAAACGAGATCTTGGATAGAAGAGTGAGTTTGCTTCTGAGGGAGGCTGGCCTCTCCTTTAGAGAGGGCGAGAGGTGCTCAGAGAAGAGCTGCTGCTCCTCCACATCAAAGGGAGGCTTGAAGGCGTTTCAGGCGTCTGATTAGGACCTCTAATAATGAGGCGTCCCAGGTATCTCTAAAATAAGATCGCCGTCTCTAAACACTAAAAACCATGCACGTAACAGCTCAGCCATGATGACACTCGGAGACTAAAATCTGTTGTAAAGTGCATCGTCACAGCTCTTTTACTTCGTGTTCTGTGTTAGTTACTTCATCTTTGCAGTATTGATTGATCAAATATTACACCTGCCTCTGTTTTCAATTCAATTTTATTTATATAGCGCCAAATCACAACAAAAGCGCCATTTGTGTGACGCTGCGCTCGCAGTTATTTCCTGCGTTTGGCGGTGTGAGGGAGGACATCCGTCTTGGCGGATGCTGATCATGTTTTAAACATGGAGTCAGATTAAAATCCGCATCCTCCTCTCTCTGGCGCACACATGGGCACGCTGGAGCCGGCAGCTCTTCAAACAAAGAGGCTGGAGCTGGAGAGCAGTGGGAGGGTGGAGGAGGTGGAGGAGTTGGAGGGAGGCTCCTCGCTGCTTCATTTCCTCTCTTGCAGTTAGACCTCTGTCTCCTGGACTGCACAGAGCTGCTTCATGCCTCCTCGGTTCAGTGACTCCCTGAAGCCTCCGTTTCCTGTCCGTGACTCCGCCTCCCTGCTGAGATCCAGACATCCAAGTGACGGTCTGGTGGCGAACAGGCCCAATTGTCAGTTCACAGCAATAAGAACTGAACTTTACCTGTTCAGGTGGGAAACACTGAATGCGTCACCTGCAGATTTTTGCAGACTCGGCGGCTTGGCCAGTTTTCCAGTGTGACATTAAAAGGCTCAGATTTGTGGATTAGAAGCTGTAACTGAGTTTGGGAAGTGGATCCATCCCGGCTGGAGAAGCAGACTCAGCAGGCATCTTCTGTCACGGGGAAACTTCACAGCCTGCAGCTTAATTCTACCCCATCTTCAACTTTCTCTTCTGCTTCGCCTTTGTTCCCGACGTGTTTTCACTAAAACCTTTTCTTCTCCACACCCCCCCTCTGTCTCGCTTCCTCTCTTGGGTTCAGTCTCAGCAATTATCGGGCACAGTAAGCAGGGCTGCGTTCAGGCTCGCAGCGCCACGTTTCACATGAAAATAGCTGGATTTATTTTCTCAGACCTGAAAAGACAATAAATCAAAGCCAAGCTGACCTCCTCCGTCCGGGATCCGAAACACAGACTTGGCTGCAGATTTGAAATGAGGTCTTGATTTATTCATAATCAGCCTCAGTGTCTTTAACATGTATGCGATATCAGCCAGTGTGACAGGGAAGGCCGCAGAGGGACAGCGTGCGCAGCAAAGCGATGTCTGCATAAATGAGGACGGCTCCTGTCACTGCACACATTTGTCTGGACAAGTCTATATGTCGGACAGAGGCCTGCGTTAAAATCATGCAGACGTAACCTATCAGAGCACAGAAACAGGAACAAGCACGTCGTTTCTTAAATGTTTCAGTCGCTCACAGACGGCAGGAAACCGTCTGTGAGCCAAGGACAGACGAGAACAGACGGGCAGCGACGCCATGATCTACACGTCTGTGCAGCTGGACCTGAAGCAGCATCAACGCGTCCAACTGAGACGCCCAGACCTCCCTCTCCTCAGCACCTCCTGCATCTCCCTGCAGCCGTCTCCTTCAATGCAGAGGAGCAGCATCTACTCTAAACTCCCCCTGAGTGACGGCGCTCCTCACACTGAGGCGTTATTCACGGGCCGCAGGTGAGGGCAGGCGTGCCGATCAGTAAGTCGACGCTCACCAGTGTGCAGGTGGGATCAGATGACCCCATCTGTTCCCGACCCTCAGACACGTAGACTCTTCCACTTGAGGCAGAAACTCATCGCTGACACAAAAACCAGCCTTTTCCAGCCGAGAGCCGCCGCCGCCTCAGCCGATTCCCACTCAGCTGCGAGCCAGCCACGAGTTGGAGGTCAGCGCTCGATGAAACCAGGATTGAATCATCCGCAAAAAACAAAGACAAGAGGTCAGTGAAGCATGCGCCCTCTGCCGCCTGGCTGCTCCGAGAGCTCTGCACCTCAACGCCCTGCCGGGACCTTAGTGCCCGACTTACTGTCTGCCAGCGCGAGCCCTCACAAAAGGACCGATTCTGACGGAGCCCCGGATAACCCGGAGAGGGTGAACACGTCACCGTCCATCCATGCACGCTGGCCTGCATGCCTCCGTTTGGAGTTAATGTCGCAGTATAACAATGAAGCCAGCTCTGAGACTTGTAGAAGGACTTTGAGAGTCATAATCTCCGGAGTTTGAGTATTATTGGTGAGGCTGAGTCGTCCTCAGAGCTCAGCCCGAACACACAGGCTCAGCGGGTGATGTAAACGCTGCTCTCAGAGCACACTTCACAGGCAGCCGCTGATGAGGTTTGTGCAGAAGGTTAATCTGGCTGTGACTCTCATCATAAAGCTAAATTTCTCCCCATCACCCCGTCTCTTCCTGCTCCTCGCGGCGTGCCCTCTGGTGTAATGGGTCTGATGCCCTTAAACCTGACTCACCCCGCCCCTCGTTACGCTGCAGTGCTCTCTGCGAGTGCCTTTATGCTCAGAAAACCCCCATTTCCATAAATCAGTCATCAGAGCGCAGAATTTATGAGCGCAGCACCTCCCGTCAGATCCGAGGTGACAGCCCGAGTCTGCTCGGCTCGTGTTTGGCAGCAGAAAAAAGGTCAGAGCGACGTTACGCGAGCAGAAACGCTGCTTCCGTTCGCCTCCTGACAGAAGTATTAGTGCAGCGAGAACAAAAGAACAAAGAGCTCAGGCTTTATTTGAAGTCAGAGCGTTGAAGTGGCACCACAACCCGCCGCCGTATATCCCCGTCACCATCTGTGTTTGACACGACAGCCGCGCTCGCCGCCGTCTGTAGTTGCGACGCGCGCTGTAATCTAAACGCTGTCATCAGCGCCGATGAGGAGGTCGGCCGCGGTCTCGTTACGTTTCCTCTGATCTGCGGTTTCAGCGTGGTTACGATGGCGGCGCTTCTCTGCGTGTCACACCTCTGAAGAGAGTTCAGAAAAACACTCTGGCACAAAGGAAGAGGTCGGGATTTTCAAAATAAGTTCGCTTTGTGACCTGCGAGTCACAGAAACACAAACATGTTTTAGTTTTGACTCAGTGACACTAATTATATCTCAAACAAACCGTCTGCTTAAAGGTTTCATTCAGCTTTAATTAATCAAACTGTGGAGAGTAAAAGCAAACGTGTCCTTGGATACGGTGTTTAAGGTTAACTGTGAGCGGCGTGTCCGTGTACATCAAACCTGAGACTTTTTATTAGCGTCTCAAACTGACAGAATAAAACAATTCAAACTGCGACAGAGTAACTACAGCCAGCCTCAGCCGACTCCTGCAGACGGCGACTTTATTGGGCTTAAAAAAGATCATCGCTGTGACATCAGAGGAAATACAGGAAGTGAAATCATTTTTATGCCAACACAACACATTTGAAACTTTCTATAAAAGTGAAAAGTATGAACGTCTTTGGACTGCAGCTCTGCATCAACACGTTTGTCGTCATGTCTTTAAAATCATTACAGAGAACGTTTTCACGACTTTCAGGCCGCAGTGAAACTTTATTCGTCTGACAGGAAGTAAGAGCAGCAGAGGTCTTTAGTAAAGCTCTCCGTGCTGATAGAAGCAGAATAATGACGACAAAATATTCATCATCAAAAGAGTCCTGAGCAATCTGGTGTCACTGCAAACCCAGAAACGCGAGACGACGAGCGTTCCCGACGCGATTGAGTTTTCTGAAGTTCTGCTTAGTCAGGCAGACGTGGAGGAAAAAGAGCGAGCGGCGAGGACAGAAAACCAAGTTCTCCTTTCCTTCATGTAGCAGCGAGCTGATGAACTTTACACTCACATATTCTCATAAAGACGAGCAACGTGAAACCATAAGCGGCGAGGGACTTACCGCTGATGGTGGCCCTCTTCGGCAGGATGGTGATGGCTCCCACCGCGGCGTCCTCCAGGTGCTGGATGGGACTGTTTTTGGCGCCCCAGCTGTCGGAGCCGATCCACAGGAAATGACCCACTTGGTCCGCTCGCTTACTGGCGTTCAGGATGCCCCTGCGTGAGAAAGCAGTCACAGACCCCACCCACACTTTAGCTTCCACATCAGTTTACCTGCAGAGGTTTATGTCCTGGACCAACAGGGTCACTAGAGAGCCTAACCTGTCATTACCCACCAACCTGCTGCATCTACAGGACCTTATCTGATTAGTTCAGGCTTTCCTAAAGCTGCTGCTGAAGACTACGAGCTCCATCTGAGCGACTGATCAACGGAGACGCTGAGTCAGAGGTGGAGAGTGAGTGAAGAAGACTGTGGAAACGCAGGGGAACAGAAGTCTGCAGACACCGAACTTTTCCAGAGTGTCTGACTGATGTCGAGTTTTCCTCAGCCTGATGTTAACCTCAGTATTTTATGGTGGGTACTCGTGAACACGGCTCACGTCACGGGGCGGCAGTCTAATCGCCCGCCAGCTCATCGAGGAACACCGAGGCGTTCCCAAACCAGCCGAGAGACGTAACCTCTCCAGCGTGTCCCGGGTCAGCTGCAGGAGCTCCTGCCTCAGGGTCGTGCTCATTATCCCAAACATTTTTACTTCCTCTCAGTGGATGGAGGGTACGGCTGGAAGAGTCCTGATGTGCTGAGCATCCAATAAAAATCCATCGGAATACATTAAATATAGCAAAGGAAAAACGTAGCATTGTGTTTGCTGGCACTAACACAGTCCTGACGTTTTCTCTCATCCTGAGCTGAAGACGATGATTCAGGTCACGTATTTAACTTTTGCACGTTACCTCAGCAGGGTTATTACCTGATGTCTTCATCGGAGGCGAACAGGATGACCGCCCTGGCGTACCGAGTGTCCAGCAGCTGGCGGATGATTTTATCGAAGTCGGAGGGTTTGTGGTCGTGAGGGATCTTCAGGGACTGAGCGATACAGATTCCACCTGAGCAGACAAAACAAAGGGCACAATTAACTCAGAGTCATCAGCTTCCTGAACTGCAGCAGCCTTAAAAAGTATAATTTATCCGTTTTATCGGCAATGGCTTTAACCTTTCAGAAACAGCGTTATTAGAGGTTTGGCCCCGAGCTCGTCCTAAAGGTTAAAGTCTGAGAGGACGAAAGTGCAGAAGAAGAAGGAGGACTCTGCTCTCCTGACATTTCACGAAACCGCCGACATCTCCGCGCACAGTCGCCTTAACAGTGTCAGAGCTGCAGGCTGCCTTCAATAAATGTCACTGACAGAGAAACACTCAGCCGGAGCTCTTCTTCTCCTCGCCACGCCGTCAGGAAAGCTTCAGATCTTACGTTTGTTCCACCGTTTCAGCTCACCCGAGCGACCGAGCAGCGAACCATGAAACAAATGACAGTCGCTCATTAGCAGCATTTCATCAGCTGAGACGAGACACAGGTGTTCAGTACTGATGTGATCTCAGAGGTAAATAAATCACGGATGACCTCGTCACTGTGACCACCAGGAGTCATCAATAATCAGCTTTAGCAGCTGTGTAAGATAAAATGTGAGACGTTCACCACACTGGCAATAATTTCACATTAAACAATGAAAACATATTTACTTTCCCTTCAGTAGTTTGTCTGAGTCTGATGTTAGTTATAGTCACATTCAGGGACCTCACACCTGCATTTTCTTTGACAGCCACCAGGGGGCGATACCTGCCGTTGACAAAGCTTTCTGGTCCTATAGAAGTCTTTGGGAGGCTTCCTGTTTGTAGGCGCAGGTGGTTTCAGGTCGTACGCAAGTCAATTCAATAAAATTTTATTCATACAGCACCAAATCACAATAACAGTCGCCTCAAGGTGCTTTATATTTAGGGCTGGGTGTCGTCACTGATTTCTAGAATCGATTCAATTCCGATTCACAAGGTCCCGAATCGATTCGATTTAATTCAATTCAATTCGATTTGAATCTGGGAAATTTTGACAGTCAGAAATATTATCATTCAGATCAGCACATTTACATATTTTTGTATCTATAAAAAGGAAGCTGACACATGCAAGACTTTATCAAAGGTGTGAGCATCACAGCAAAGGCCTTTGTGTCAAAGTAGCTGAAGATAAAACAGAAACACATGAAGGAGATTTTCCTTTCCTGGGATTTTATAAAAATATTCTGCAGTCGATCAAAAACGAAAGAAAACCATTAATCAGCATATGAACATCACCTCTGAAGTTACAGCGGTTTTATTAGAGACACAGCGTTTTGCATTTTGCATAATTTTAAAAAGTTTAAATTTGTTCAGTATTGAACGGCAGAAATGAGGTTTTCTTTTCGGAAGTATATAAATCGAAAAAAAAAACGTCGGCTGACAGCCTGTAAACAACGGCAGACTTGTGCGTAACAAGCAAGCGAATAATGCAGAAAACAGAGAGAGAGAGAGAGCTGTGCATGAAGTGTGATTTTATCCTGGTGGAAGCAAAACAGTAAAAGTCAGAGTGAATCCATGACGATGTTTATGTGAAGCGTAGTTTGGATCTTCTTTTGCTGCTGGTTCGGTCAATATTGTTTGGAAACGAACAGCTTTAGAATCGGCGCATAAAGGGCGTGAACACAAAGCGCGACCAGCCGACACATCAGGATCAGCGAGCTGTCGGCTTTCAGCCCCGACCGTGAGAAAGGCGACATCTCACTGATTCTGATCCGCGGGTCGCCTGTGTGTTTACGTCTTTGTGCAGAATCCCTGTAACTGCTCTCATTTACTGTCTTAGCTGTTTGGTGGTTCTTGAAATTTTGTGAGGTGTCACCAGAGATTCTGGCATTTCGGGCAAAATAAATTTATATTAAAAAAATCGATTCAGGATTTTAATGAATCGATTTTAATCGATAAATCAATTATAAAAACCCCACCCCTATTTATATTGTTAGGTCGACCTGCAATAATACACACAGAGAAAAACCCAACAATCACATGACCCCCTATGAGCAGCACTTTGGCGACAGTGGGAAGGAAAAACTCCCTTTTAACAGGAAGAAACCTCCAGCAGAACCAGGCTCAGGGAGGGGCGGGGCCATCTGCTGTGATTGGTTGGGTTAGGATAGACATGCTGAATGAAACATTTTGTCATCGTCTCCCGCAGAACGGAGCGTTGCATGCTCATTGGTTAGTGGCTGAGAAATCACCAGCCAATAGGAATCCTGTGGGCTTACAGGTGTATCCACTGCTTGGCCCGTCCGGCTTCAAGAATCAAAAAGGCGATGAGAGTGATGTCATACACTCGATCCAGTCTCGAGTGTATGACATCACAGAGGTTACGCCCATCTTTCATACAGAAACAGCTGCTCAAGAACCAGCACAAAAGAAGAAGACAGAGAGCGGACATCGAGCGCACAGGTGTGCACTTCAAGGAAGATTCCTGAGCTCAGTTTTATTTGTGCTCCATGTTTTTATTCCAAACTATTAAATCAAACATGAAGCTGAAGAGCAGCGTGAGTGAGCTTTCAGTTTCACGCTGGAACACTTCAGTCCTGCAGACAGAAGATCCCAGAGGACGACGGATGGAGCCAAACACGGAACTACAGACACAACGAGGAACGACACGTGAAGGATGAAGCCCTGAACATGCGTCCTGTGTAATAACGCTGCTGTATTCATCACGGCTGCTTCCACGTGTCCATGTGTGGGCGGAGTTTAACCTCAGGCTTACAGAACTTGTTTGACTGCCTGTTTACGAGCAAAGCTGTGAAGGTTATGTTATCACGAGAATATCTGGATTCCAGGAAGCGTTAAAATCCAGAGTGTGGCGACTCGGCCAGAAATACAGGGAGCTGGCTTGCGTGCAGCTCGGAGACGCCGTAGTGGAGCTTAGGCTCACCTTTGGAGCTTTGTGATTGACAGCTGACACACAGGTGAGACTCATTCCCGAGGCTGCGTGACCTCAGGGTCACAGACGTCTGTGACTGAGCACAAAGGTTAGAGCGAATCCAGGCTGCTCTCGGTGACGCTGTCCTCTCACATCTACACAAAACACGTTGGGCTTTCCACAACGTGCCCGAGGCTTCTTCCTGTTACAAGGGAGTTTTTCCTTCCCACTGTCGCCTGGTGCTTGCTCATAGGGGTCATCTGCTTGTACTGTGGAAACTGCTGCTGTGATTTGGTGCCATGTAAACACTTTCACACAAGAAGAAGCTTCATTATTTAACATTTTTACCTTTTTCACCAATTTTGGCCTTTTTCTCAATTTCTTTTTAACTTTTTCTCAATTATTTTTTTCTAATAAATTTTAAAATATTCTTTGACATTTTTTTTTTTACATTTTTTCTCAATAACTTTTTCTCAGATGTGAAACTTTCGTCTTCACTTTTATCTCAGTGTTAATAATTAATTGTTACTGATTTTCACTTACAGTAAACTTTTTTGAAACTTTGTTTTGATTTTTATGAAAATATATTTTTTCCTTAATTTTGACTTTTCAATGACTGTGATTTTATTTCCTTAATTAACGGAGATAAATACTTCAGTGTATTCGACTACTTTTACTCTGTCAGAGGTCTTCAGCAGTCGTGTGTGACGTTCCTTCTGGGCTTCATGAAGACGAGGGTAAAGAAGAAGGCGAGCGGGCGGGAGTCTGTTTGAAGCTTCGGCCTCGACGCCTCATCTCACATTCAGCTGCTGCCGTGCAGCGAGCGGAGGAGGAGGAGGAGGAGGAGGAGGAGGAGAGCTGCCGCAGCTCCACATTTTATTCAACAAATGAATTAAACATTTGGCGTTTGGTATTCAGGCGCCGACTCCGCGCAGCCGTCACAGCTCTCAGTTCTGCAGAGGAGCGCGGCGCTCTGTCGCGGGCGCAGCGGTTTCAGCTACATGACTTTTTAAAAACAGGGTTAGACATGAAACCATGTTTCTGTGTTTAATCATCGAAGAATTTCATCTGATTTAATCTGACGCCACAGAAACGCCTCCACATACTCACAGCAGCAGCAGAAGCGGAGGTGACGGATGTTGTGATCTGATTTAAACTGATAAACCCAACAGACCGGTCCAGACCCAGCTCGTGACCATGGCAGCAGGTAAACTGATGTGAGGTCACTTCAGCACAAACCTGGTGTCTGAACGTCAGCTGCACAGATGTCACATGACATTTTAAACACTACAGAGACTTCCTGCTGGCCTGAAAAGGTTTCAAGTGGCTGAAAGCAGAAAAATGTCCCTTCAAATCCTGAAAGAGTCACCAGAGAATGATCCGGTCTGTCAGGATCAGGAGGACTGGGCCCCATCCTGTCGAAGCCTCCGGAGGCTAAACGTGTCAGGACGAACAGTCGAGGATGTTCGAGCAGTAGCAGCGAGCTGTAGATTGACTTAAGCTGCTAATTAGCAGCTCAGTAGCATGTGACCAGCCCGCCTCCTCTCAGCGTGTTGCTTGTGGTAATTAGTGATCAGTTATTAATTTCTAGAAAGAATATATGTTTTATTTTTGAAAAGTACAGAGTCTAAAGCAAATGAAACAGGGACCTGCAGCCTTCGGCCTCCTCACAGTCCACCTGATCAGGGACAACAGGTGGCTCTGGGTCAGCTCGGCTCATTAGCCGCTCCTCCTTCTGTCCAACAATGAGTACCATCAGTTTAAAAAAAGCAGGAAGTGGCTTTGGACGTCAGGTGTGACGGAGACTTTTATGTCTTTGTAGGAGCTGTAAATGCCACCGTCAGTGCACCACACACAGAAACAGGATCGCTGCTCCCCTGAGGACCCCTGACCTCACGTCCCACCCTTTATCTTCCCAGCTAAAAAACAGACTTCAAATAAATGCGAGGCAGAGGAGCGAAGGCCTGCGTGGGACGCCGAGCAGAGACCGATGCTAATCTTTAAACTTCCTCTGATGTCGCTCTGAACAGGAAACACAGAAAAAGAGCTCTGACTTTGAGAGGAAGCTGGGCGCTACTCGGGACGAGAAAGTCTCACAAACACTGCCGAGCTGACACTGTGACGTGG